GAATAGAGACTCAATAATCATAGAAAATAGCTTATTAATTGGAACAGGTTTCTAACAAGAGCTTTGACAGAATGTACTGTTGGAAACAATATTTTGAGACCATTCTTTCTGCTGAAGTGCATGGATCACTAGATGTTGTTACCTGTCTGCACAGCAGGGATGCAGAATCTCCGGTGAGGAGGCCATCTGTGGCCTTCCTCAGGTGCAGGGATGGGTAGTGCAGGGCCCAGGCCTCAGGGAGCCCCTGCCACCATCACCCCTCACTGCAGCCCTTCTGCCCTCTTCAATTAAATGGAATGATAAATTTTGTGAACTATGGTCCCCTTCATCAGAAGCATGCAAGTTAAACAGCTAACGTGATTAACAATTGACCATCTGTGCATCTCAGCTACATTCCATACATTTCCAAAGAGGCCTAGGGAAATATGTTTATCTCAGCTGGAATGTGCACATTCTCTTGCCACTGTGCACAATCTCCAATGGGCCTTGGAGAATGTGCATATTTTGACTATATTTCATATATCCTCCAGGCAATGTGCATGTTCTCTGATCATGATTCATAATTTCCGATCATCTTCCAGGACTATGCATATCTCAGGAGTCTTGTCTACATTCTGTGGGTAATTTGCATAGTCTCCAAGAAACACTGGAGATTGTGCATACTTCAGCATAATCCGATCATCATTTGGTAATTTGCCAAGGCAATAAGCTTGTCTCCAAGGAACCACAGCGATGAACTCTATATGCGCAAAACATTCAGGTCTCTGAAACAGATGAACGTCTATGCAATATTAAAAATATGAAACAATCCTTTGATAAGACAGTTTATAGTGAAAAAAGTATTCTGCAAGAGACAGAAGGTTCTGGCCTTTGCAAAAAGTCATTACAAATGACAACAGAACCTTTAAAGAAATTAAATGGATGCTTAGGTTGAAAACTCTGGCCCTTGAGGCCTGAATGAAGAACCTCTTCGGTAAAGCTTAGTACTTTTGAGGCACTCCCTCAGAATAGAAATTACTTGAATTCAGCTGTATGATTTTGTAAAATAAAAGATTTAAAAAACTACTGCATCTCACAGTTTGACACCAGTCACCAGGGTCATCCTGGAAAGCATATTTTTCAGAGATCTTTTCAGGAATATATTAAAATGGTGTAAGCCACCATAGGCAATTTTCTATGTGACAATAATGATAGTGATGTGTTTGTAATGCAGAGCTTTCATTTTGTAATTTAAAAAAAAATCAGTATGTTCCTCTTCATTTGTTCCTTTCATCTTTCTTTAATCTAGACCCTGAGGAAGGCCTATATTCAGGGCCAAAATTCATATATAAAAATCACTTCTTTAACATATCAAGATTTTATTTTCTTATTCCACTGGGTCATTCTGGATGTTTTCCCATTTTGTATGATCCTGTTTTTGGCATTAGCCATTCAGCTGAAGAGGGAATTATAAACAATGAGGTAGATCCCTGGATATTCACAAAAATAGTCATGAGATCTTTGCAGGATAAGCAGAAAAATATAAGCACTGTGATTTAAAAGCAGCAGCTGTAAGACACTATTGTCCTTGTTCTAGCCACAGTTGAAGGTGTCCAACTTCTTAATAAGCAATGCTTTAGGGGTTTTGCATTGTAATTAGTCTTTGAAAGTGCTTTGTTCAAGAATGACCACTTTGAGGTCAATGACAATATCCTGGGAAGGCAAAAGTGATCTTTTGTTTTTGGAATAATGTCATGTCTGGTGCCAGATTTTTATCCATTGATTCTTCTGCACGGAGAAGAATCTCTTTATCTGTCCTATATGGAGCGTTGAAGGATGCTGCTAACAAAAAAATGCCACATGCCACATGCCACACTGGAAGATGAGCTGGTGTTGTGCATAATGTTATTAGGGTCTGTGGTATTGCAGCAAGAATAGATCTGGGGACAGAGTTGGCATCTGGGTCTGGCTCTTGTGTCTGTATCTCTGTAGACAAGGTCTGTTGTTGCTGGTGAATAACTACTTCATGTTAAGCAACCATCCGAAAGGTCATATGCAGGGTGGTCTCAGAGACTAGCTTTGGGGGAGAATGTGTTGTTCCTCCTTCCCTTGCTTAGGCTGTGCAATGCTTGTACTATTTGATCTGTAATGCTGCTTAACATCTATATGAAGCTGTTGGGCACAGTAATAACGGAGTCTGGGGTGAGGTTCCCTCAATCCTGTGATGACACAAGCTCTATTTCTCGGTAATGTCTGAAACAAGGGAGGTTGTGGATGCAGGGTTGGGCTGGCTGGGGGCCAATGAACTGAATCCTGGCAAGGTGGAGGCTCTGTGGGTGTGACTGCTGTACCTGGGAACTGCATCTAGAGGAGCTACCCTCTCCCTGATGCAGCGGGTGTGCAGTCCTAGGGGTGCTCATGGATCCCTAGAACTGTCAGTGGGGGCACCAGTGTCTTCAATGGCTCTGAGTGCTCCAGCAGGTAGGACAGCCCATCCTGGGCCAGGATAGCTTGAACACTGTGAGCCATGCTTCAGTGACCTCAAAATTACATTCTGCAATGTGCGTTATGTTCAGCTGCCCTTGAGGTTGGTCCAAAAGCTGCAGTTCATGCAGAATGTCAAGGTCAGACTTATTTCACTATATTACAGCTATGCTGAAGGAACTGCATTGGCTACCAATATGCTACCAAGCCAGGTTTAAGGTTGTGGCATTTCTTTACAAAGCTCTAAACAATGCATACCCTGGAAACTTAAGATATCACTTGATCCCCTATTAGCACACTCACTTGCAGCACCCATCAAGAGTTACCTCTTGGTGGTACCTAGGATTTTGGCAGTCCATCCCTCAGGGCTCCTAATAGGGCCTTTAGTATTGCAGTGACCACCTTCTGGAGCTTCCTACCACTATGAATTAACCTCTCTGAGGCAATGAGCTTTCTGTTGCTGCTGCTATGTGCCATCAGATCATCTCTGACCTATGGCAACCAAATGAATGAAAGGCCCCCAAAGTGTCCTGTCCATGACAGCTCCGTTCAGTTCTCCCAAGCTGGAGGCAGTGGCTTCCTTTATGGATTCAATCCATCTCACATTTGGTCCTCCCTTTTGTCTTCTGCCTTCGACTCTCCCTGCCATGATAGAAACATAGAAACAGAGTGAGTCAGAAGGGGCCTCATCTTTCTGTCTATCCAAGGTATTCACAAAACTGTTTTCCAGCACCATGCTTTGAAAACATAAATTTTCTTCCTGTCACCTTTTTTTACTGTCCAGCTTTCGCACCCATATATCCTGGGGTTTCTGGTACCTGCTAAAAACACCCCTTTCCAGTAAGGTAATCTACTCCTCTGTATGAAGACCTGTTTTTGCATATCACTTAGAAATTTTATTTAATGCAAGTAATTCATAAAGAGCATCAAGTAAAAAAAAAAGATGAGTCTATCAGTCAAGGTCTATGAGAGTTTTAGCAGAGATGTGTTGATGACAATAAAGGAAATTCTGTTGTTTTCTCTTGTGGGTCAGGTCTGATGTAGATTATTCTTGGGTACCAGCCTAGCCCCTCTCTCTATTGTTGTTTACTTCATTGGACTGATACTTTGGTGCAACAAATGCCAGTTTGCCCAACATCATAAACAAGCCAAAGTGCGGTTGAAACTATTGTAGCACTGCAAATTCTTCTGTGTATATTTGCCAGCAGTGTTAGTAAGCTTATAGTTCTTTTGACCAACCACTATTTTTCCATATTTTTCCTTGTGATTTGAAAACCATAAATGAATATTTTAAGTGACATAATGTAAAATATTTATTCAAAGCACTTGAATAATGTATACCTTTGTGAAAACAAAATAAAAGTCAGTATCAGTTAGACAGCCACTAGAGAGAGAGAGTAATGGTAGGGAAATGTGTGGAATCTCCCATGAAAGGCATTGCAGGATGGAAGGCCCAGCATAAAATGGGTTAGGAATCAGATTTAAGTGCAAACTGGAGGAGGAGTTCTGGAAAGAAAAAACTGGACATGTTCAGCCTTGAGGAGAGAAGACTAAGGGGAGATATGGTTGCACTTTTCACATACTTGGGAGGCTGTCACACTGGGGAGGCCCAGGATCTCTTCTCACTCATTCCAGCGTGCAGGACAAGGAATGATGGGATTGAGTTACAGGAAGCCAGATTCCAGCTGGACATCAGGAAAAGCTTCCTGTCTGTTAGAGCAGTACAGCAATGGAACCAATTACCTAGGGAGGTTGTGGGCCCTCCTACACTGGAGGCAGTCAAGAGGCAGTTGGACAGCCACCTGTCAGGGATGCTTTAACTTGGCCTTATGGGCCCCTTCCAGTTCTACCATTCTGCGATTTTTTTCTGTGATTTTGTCTGTAGGTGGAAGGAGTGAACCATTGGAGGTAGAAGCTGTGCTGGGCAAGGGCAGAATTTAGGGCATTATTCCCTCATTAAGGAAGGGAACAAGAGCCAGGATCTAACCACATGGAAAACTCACATGACAAGCAGAAAGCTAGGCTGTGTCATATGACTATATGAGCCCCTCCTCACAGTCTGAGGAAATACAACCCAGACATAAGTTGACCAGCTCAGTAGGTAAAGGCCTGATATTGTTAGTGCTTAGAACCTGTATTAACCCTGTGTTGTGTAAATGAATGTGCTGTGTAACTAAGCATGTGCAAATTGTTTTCCTTGTTGTATATTTGTGCTTTGTGATTCCCCTCACCATCTCTCTACCCCCGGAGCAGTGCCATCTTGCTCCATGTTGGAATCAGCTCTTCCATTTCATTATGGAATGACTATAAGCAGAATTCTACACCAACTTTGGTGGTGTAGAATTGGTGTACACCAATTCTACACTCAGCAGCAGGAGTACTTTCCTCAAATCTACAGGTTGTCCCTTTGCCAGTAGCACAGCTCTTTCTATAACTTTCCATCTCCATTAAGGATGACTGTCTCTGCTCTGGAGCAAAAGATTTTGTGAGAGAGCAGTGCTGGCTAAGTTTCCCCATTATCCCATTTCTCTTTCCAGGTGAAATCAGAGTGGCTTTTGTCCTGTACAACAACCTGGGCCGCTACCTATCCACAGAGAATGCCAGCATGAAGCTGGGCATGGAAGCCATGTCTACCAACCATTCTGTAATAGTGAACTCCCCTATCATCACAGCAGCAATAAATAAAGATTTCAGCAATAAGGTTTATCTGGCTGATCCTGTTGTGTTCACCGTGAGACACATCAAGGTAAGGAGCTACTAATCTTGCAGAATACCTCGTATTTCAGCATGGATTCTCCCCTACCTTTTCTTGGAAATGTACCAGAAAGCATTTCAGCTTTTTGCACAGATACCATTTCTTTCAGTCAGTTTGCTCTAGATCCAGTTAAATTCTGATTACGCTATTGTATTTGTTTATTTGATTTATATCCTGCCTGTTTCTTTTTTTTAAAGAACTCAAGGTGAGTTACATCATTCTTCTACTGCTCTCAATCATCTTAGTATTTTATTATTGAGCAATTCTAGACAAAACCATACATGCACATGCTTTAGATTTCTTTTTAATAGAGAAGGCATTTTATACATATAAGAAGTAGAACAAGGTTCTCTATTGATTAGAAACCTCATTGATGGGTAGCAGTCTGGGCATGAATTCTTATATTTGGGATTCCACCAATTTTTTGGTCAAAGCTTAGTATATGCAAGATACAGAAACATGATTTATCAGTCAGTAAAGACTATGATTATTATAGAACAGACCTGGAAGAAAAGCCTCTAAAAGTACCCCATACATCATATTTATATTGTCTCTACCTGAAATATCTGTGCAAAAATTATTATAGACTTAATGATGAGAGAGGGACAAAATAATGGTGCATCTTTGGGTTCAGAGATGGCAACTCTGTATATGAATGATTTTGAGAATAAATATGGGTTAATGAAGCAAGTTCCTGAGCAAATGGTGGTGGTGCATTGATGACATCTTTATTGTTTGGAATGTTCAAATAATATTTCTCAATTTTTTAAAAATATAGCATATTACATAGGATGATATAGAATTTGAGATGCATCAAGATGATAAAACCATACATTTTCCAGATATGATGATGTAGGCGGACCAAAATAGGGTACACAGTATTGTATAGAAAACTGACTTACAAAAATCCGTCTTGGCAATATGTGACTTTTCACCCAAAGCGAGACATAACTTGGTATATGGACAATTTCTAAGAAATTGTTTATTCATTCAGAGTGAAGGCAGGTGTACTACAAGACCAATAAATCATGAAAAGAAGTTGTACTGTCATTGAGTTGGTCATAACATAAACGTCTGACAAAGATGAAGAAGATCTAATGAGTGGATAAATACCAAAGTGCAGTGACAAATTCTTTTGTAACCTGACTTTTGATGAAGTTGCCAGTAGTCTCCAGAGTCTGTTGCCAGTAGTCTCGCTTTAAACATGGGCATTTGGTAGGGATTCTCTGGGTTTAAACAACAGACCTTGCACTGCTTGCAGAAAAACTACTTATCTAAAAGGCTGGTTGGTCACAACCATAAACAGTTCAGCCAGTTCTTCGAGAGGCATCAGAACACCGAGGGCATCACCCAAGCGGATGCTGCATACACTGCAAATACATCGAAATGCCATGCTTGCAATTCTTTCGTCCAGGCAGGGGACAATAGAATATGTATTATCCAATATTTTCCACTTGTTGCAGTGCATGTGAGGTATGTAGTATCACACATCTATGCAATAAATGCTGGGCAGACCTAAGGACTACTCAAGAAATGCACGAGTTTACATTTCAGCAATGTAATGTAAGAAGAAAAGGTTTACAGCAGAACTGTTCCATGGGTGATAAAAGAATTAAGCACACTGCATGTCAAATGTCTTAGGAGAGAGACATTCTGGATTCTGTAACTGGATAGCCTTGTTACAAAGGGTCCGAATGAAGGTCTAGGATGCTTAACATTGCTGTGAGTTGTGGGAAGAAATTCTGTAAACATATTCATGCATAAAGAGGCAACAAGCAATCTCCTGCATTGAAATGCTGTTGCCCAGTCACTTGGAGCCAGTTTCAGAATATAAAACAACTGAGACAGTTGAAGCAAATAGTTGAAAAAGAGAAAAGATCAGTAAGAATTCTTAAAATATATGCAGAGAAAGACAACCGAGTGAGTAAAAGAATATAAATAATTGGTCAAAATGTTTTTATGGAGGAATAAAATAATGAGGCTGCAAAGTTTATAACAATGGAATGTTTAATAGCCAGAGGGAACAATTGTATGAGATTTATCTTTGATAAATTTGTAAACTATTTTCCCAAAGAAAAGCCTTTATATTAACCTTTGAGTGAGTACATTATATATTCTAACACATGGATGCAAAAATTATATGAGAGTTAGCACTGATAGGAAGCTTGGATGCATTTGTAAAAACTGATGCAACTCTGTATTTTTTACAGTTTTAGTATGGTTTTAAAACATTAATAATGCTTTACCTTGAACTTTTATTTGCAGGCCCTGAGGAAGGAAATATATTTCTGAAATATGTTGGGCTTATTATTTTTTGGGTCATTTGAAACCATTTTAAAAAATATTTTTATTTACAACACAACAATATTTGCAACGGTAAAAAACAAGAGCAACAAAGGGGGATGCTTATCATAATCTACACACAGTAATAAGTGACATCTCCCTGACTGTGACGGGGTGAGGAAAACACAAAGAGCTGCTGGGAAAGGTTTTACTTTTCTATTTCAAATGTATACATTGACACAAGCATTCCATATATGTAAATAACCATCCAAATGACTTGGACAGTTATAGGGGTTATGCTCAAATGTAGCATGAGCAGTGAGATCATCAGTCCACTGAGAGCATGGTAGCAGATGTTTTTCCTTGCAAACTTGATATATAAGCCTCCCTGCAGTTGTAAGGGATCTTGGTACCCACTTTCGCTGTTCACCCCCACATCACAGGGATATTCTTTAAAAGCTTGTGTGCACCCACATTTATCACAGATTTTTTGAAGACTAAAATTTATATGAGCCATAACGTCCAACCAAATGGAAACCACTATATGACATGCCCATATCATATGCCTCAGAGAGGTACTGTCTATGCTACACCTACAATGTCTTGCATAGCTAGTCTTCTTAACAGGCTGCAATAGTGTCCAGTGTACTTGCAACATGGCTTGTTGTTGAATCAGTTTTAAGTCTACAAAGACATTACATACAGCCAAGAAGGCAACCTTCCATTGGTTAACCAGTATAGGACATATCAATTCCTCATCCCATTCAATTCTGACTGTCTGAACATCTACTTTCCTGCATTTCAGAAGTCATTTATAAATAGCTATTGTTGGGTTAGCTTTTTTGTAAGAAAACAATCCATTTCTTCGGGACTGTAAGAAATAATGAATATGCATAACTAATTGCCTATTTATAGACTTCAACAAATGCTAAAGTTGAGTGTACTGCCAACTACCTTGTTTCTCTGAAAATAAGACCTAACCGGAAAATAAGTCCTAGCATGATTTTTCAGGATGCTCGTAATGTAACCCCAACCCTAACCCTACCCCCAAAATAAACCCCAGTTAAGATCATCAGCCAGACAGACACATTTAGAACGTCCATTGCAACACAATTTGGGGTTTGGAGAGTTATGACAGTGTTCCACAAGAAGATGACAGGACTGTATCTGAATAAATGTAGATTGTTGTACATGAAAAAAATAAGATATCACCTGAAAATAAGCCTTAGAGCGTCTTTGGAACAAAAATTAATATAAGACCCGGTCTTATTTTCAGGGAAACACGGTAGCACTAGACAAGTAAGTGCTACCTAATCTGCAACACTAACATGGTAACCCTTCATCCAAATTTAGTGATCTAAAGTATGAATTCCATTGTCAGCCCATGTGCTCCACCTGTTTTCAAAACCATAAAGTTAATTTAGCATGAAAATACGGAGCAAACCATAGCTGACAAACCATTGCATGCCAGGTCTCCAAGATTTTCCTTCCTTTTTAATATAGCTAAATCCTGAGGCCACATTATTTCCTATCATTAGTTCAGGCAAATAAGCTTTTTGACACAAATCAAGAACTGGGGGTTTTTTTCAGTTAAAAATGTAAAAGACCCCCCTCCCGAACTCACACAGATACACTTCCAAATTGCTGCACAACCTTTTCAAAAATATATTTGAGGATTATATGAAGGACCACTAGGTATTACTTTCAGAATCCATCCCTCTAGCATTGCTTAGTCCAGTAATACAAAGCAAGCCAAGCCAAGCGGAAGTCCATGAATGCTTGCAGACCCTGGCTGCACAACCTGCAACCTTCCCCATCAGGAGCAGATACAGGATGCAAAAAAGGGGGTGCCTCAACCAGGTGCACCAGGTACCCTTCCCAGCAACCAGTCTTCTCAGCCACTTACTGCTGCAGGGGAAAGGGGAGGTACTTGCACTGCATATGGGGCTCAATTTCTGGCAAGCACCTTGCAAATGCTGGGCATGTCTATCAAGAACCTGCAAAGTGGACCAGGGTTTAGGGATTCAAGCCCCCAAAATCCGAAGAATTCTAACCCCCCATGTGTGAGTATGGATTACTCACACATATCAACTTTAAATAGTTGACTATCCACAGGTATGTTAAATTTACCCCAAGAAAACCAGGTTGCTTACCTGTAACTGATGTTCTTCGAGTGGCCATCTGTGCAGTCACACATATGGGTACTGTGCCTGCGCAGTACCTGTGGCCGGAAGATTGATAGCTAATGGTTTGGCAGGAAAACTCCTCTCCCCTCCCCCCTGGTAGTATATATAGAGTGGAGTGTCCACCATTTTCCAGTCTTTGATAGACCGGACGTTCACTCTCAAAGAAATAAGTGTGACTAAGTAATTAACATTGTTGAACCCACGACAAGAGAAAACATACTGACTCGGTACCAAAGCGAAAATAATACGGTACCAAGAAGCACCATCCATTGACACCGAGCGGGGTCGGCGGGTGGGTTGTGTGACTGCACAGATGGCCACTCGAAGAACATCAGTTACAGGTAAGCAACCTGTTTTTCTTCGTCATGGTCTCTGTGCATCACACATATGGGTAGAGTAACAAGCTTACCCTGCTTGGAGGAGGGAGGTGTCATCATCGAAGAATAGCTGAAAGAACGGCTCTGCCAAAGGAACAGTCTTGTCTAGCCTGGACATCCAGTCAGTCATGTTTTGCAAATGTGC